CCTGGGTTCAAATCCTCAATACCACATAAACAGAAAAGGCGGGAAGTGGCACTGTGGCTCAAGTGGTAGAGTGCTAGCCTTGAGCTGAAGAGCTGAGGGACAGTGCCTAGACCCAGAGTTCAGGCCCCATGACCAACAACAACAATAAAAGAGTCTCACAGGGACTTTTCTGCCCAGGCTGACTTCAGACCTCAATCCTCAGATGTCAGCCTCCTGAGTAGCTAGGATTATAGTGAACCACCAGTGTCTGGCAAGAAAAGCTTTGGAAAGGCAATTTCGGGGGTAACTTCAGAGGTGAATTATACTCATAAATTTCCATGTTGGGTTGCAACCCTTTTGTACAATCATCTAAAGATAATTTAGCCAGGCACCAGTAGCTAACACCTGTCATCCTAGCTACTCAGAGATTAAGATCTGAAGATCGAGGCTTGAAGCCATCCCGGAGAAACAAATCCTTGAGCTCTTACCTCCAAAAAGAACAACAAAATGACTCAAGTAGTAGAGTACCAGCCTTGAGCAAAAAAAGCCAAGCAAGATCACAAGGCCTTGAGTTCAGGCCTCAGTATCTGTACAAAAAAATTTTTTAAGTAACTTCAGCTAAGTATTGATGGCTCATGCCTGTAATCCTAGCTGTGTGAGAGATTGAGATAGTAAAGACTGTAATTCAAGGTCAGCCCAGACAGGAAAGTTCAAGACACCCCTTTCTCAACTAAGAGAACCAAGAAGACTAACAGATTTCACCCAGGCATGCCTGTGGAAATATGACCCTGTCTTTAAAAAAATAAGATAAAAAATAAGGGCTGGAGGCTCATAGCTTACTTTCTTGATCAAAAACCAGAGTTCAAAACCCAAAACTGAAAAAACAAAACAAAAACATTGTTTCTTATAATGAAACCAAATTTCCTTTCTAATACAGTAGGGGAAATTAAAAAAAAAAAAAGATGAAGGAGGGGCTGGGAAGGTGGCTCAGTGGTAGAGCGCTTGCCTTGCATGCATGAGGCCCTGGGTGCGATTCCACTGCACCACTTAAGCAGAAAAAAAAAGCCGGAAGTAACACTGTGGCCCAAGTGGAGAGTGCCTTGAGCTGAAGAGCTGAGGGACAGCGCCCAGACCCAGAGTTCAGGCCCCATGACCGACAAAAAAAAAAAAACCAAAAACAAAAAGATGGAGAACTAAGGCTTGACTCTCCAGTATTACTCTGAGCCTTTGATGTTTGATGTGTTGACATTCTGGGACTTGACCATTGGAGCTAGAATGAGTGTTAGCTGGGGGAGCTATGCCTGTCCCCTTTGAGTCCTGCTCTCCTGGGGAGTAAACTCCAGTGTAACTTCTAAGGAAAGGGTAATAGACATGGGTGAGGACTGTCCCGCAAATTGTCCTACCCTCCAGCTCACAGGCTCCGTCTTTCCTGTTGTCCCTCTCCTGGCAGAGCCACGTCCATACCTGCCTAAGCTTCTTTGGCTTTTCAAATTTGAAATATGAAATTCATTTTGATTGTTAATAGAAGTACACTTTCTATGTTAATTTTCCAGATATATGAGTAAAACTGGAAAAGATCTGTCCTATGAAGGAGTCACCTGAGCTACAGGAGCCCTGATTTCTGAAGAGAAAGCTCTTCTTTCTCCAGGCAGCTGGAGGAACCAGAAGGATTGTTTAGTGCAAGCATTGGGGGCTCTACCATAGCTCTCATTTCTGTTTAACCAATTACTGGGAAAAGAAGGGCTGGAAAATAAAATTAGGTTCGATTTCTTTTACGTCCATCATTCTAGAAATTGATCCATGGCACTGATTGGTCAAAACAGAGACAAAATAATTAAATATTAATTTAAGGTATAAAAGAAACCAAAACAAGCAGACATTTCGGTGACCTTCAGAAAAGGTTGGTGAGTGAGGCACAACCTTGCTAAGAAATGCAAACTCTCAGTCATCTCTCGGGTGTTGGGAAATACATTTTGTTGTGTCTGGAGGTAAGTGGGAACTGACATCAGAATGAGTAACCTCTGACTAACCAGTGTTCCAAGCCTGATGATGATTGGACAGGTTTCAAACTAGCTCTGAGGTTACTGTGACCATAGCTGCAGGACAGCGCTCTCCGAGCGTGGATACTTTAATTCCCACTAGGATGAATGTTGTGCTGTGTCTCCATCTCTGGACAAAGTGATGGTTCTTGGTCAGATTTAGAATACAAGAGCCTGCAGGATCTGAGTCAGACAACTTTAATGGCTACAGAAGATACATTATGTCAACAACACAACACACCCAACTCTCTCCCCCCACTGAAATACAAGCCTTATTTTCAGAGAGTGTAGGGGGTAACGGGAAGGGGATACCCTAAGATGACTTAGATCCTACATCCATTGGGAAGGCAGACCTCACACAACTTGTGAAAACCTGGGATCCCCACCAAGCTCCTCAAGCTCCTAGGGGTGGGGATGGTATGGCAGAGGAGTAGATAACCCCACCTTCATAGGAGGGATTACATTCTGAGCGTGTCTGAGTATTTGTGCCCTGGAGGCAGGGCCTTGATTGGCCTTGGAACAGAAGGACACCGGCACTTTTCAGCGAGGAACTGGCCTCGTGGGTTGGCCTCACACCAGTCATTGAGACCCTCTGAGCATCAAATATTGGAAGATAACAATGCTACCTTGCTGTTAAAATATTTCAATGAACACAAAGTTCCTAGTTCATGACCAGAACTCAATAAACAGTAAGTGCTATTATTTGGATATTTCTTACAAGGTCTTTCCACTTATGGAAAGAAAAACGAGGTTCTCAGTCTTGGGACACACACCCTGCCCTGTGAAGGCAAGGAAGCTCTATTACAAACGTCCCGACCTGACCATCTTGTGCACAGAGTCCAGGTACTTCCCCAGGACATCTGCAGTCATCACTCTTCTTTGCACAGGCAGTGCCTCCCGTTTGTGCTGGTCATCTCCCACTGCCCACGAGCGAGGTCTCTCCTGTCGGTCCATTGAAACCTATTGGCAGAAAAGGGTGGCATGAGGTATGCTGCGGGGTGAGGAGGCTCACAGGGAGGGAGGACCCTTCTGGCCCTTAACCCACACCCGGCCTACTTATCCAAACTGCCACGCCCTCTCCCTCTCACACTCTGCCTGTATCTGAAGCTCTCACAGGAGGTTTTCAGAGGACTCTGGATCTTGGACTCCATCTACCTTTGTATAGTATGGCAGAGATGACTAGCTGTCTACAGAGTGCTTCCCTCCACCATGTATAAATCAGCCAGCTTCTTTCCCCAGCAACTTTGGACCCAGCCTTGGACCAGAATCTAGCCACAGACGACCAGAGGAGGAAACCCAGCCTCCCTCCAGTCCTGGCCACATATACCATGGCCCTGTTCAGTCCAGACCATTTCTCTTTTCCAGTTGCAGGAATGAGCTCATTGGAATCCAGGTGAAAAGATGACAAAAGCTCATGAGAGAGTTCTGAACGGGGACAGCTTGCTGTTCATCTGACCCACCTAATACTGGTGCTTGAACAAAAAAAAAAACTTGTACTGTGTTAAAAGCTCTGTATACTTTTTCAGCCTGATGGTGACAGCAGGGACCCTTCTCTGCCTTAGCTGTAGAGTTTCCTTCTGTCACATTAAGATCTAAAACAAGGCTGGGAATGTGGCTCAGTGGTAGAGTGCTTGCCTAGCATGCATGAAGTCCTGGGTTCAAATCCTCAATACCACATAAACAGAAAACGCCAGAAGTGGCACTGTGGCTCAAGTGGTAGATTGCTAGCCTTGAGCATAGAGAGACTCAGGGACAGTGACTAGGCCCAGAACTGACCAAAAAAAAAAAATCTAAAACAAGTGCTTCTGCACAGCAAGGAAAACAAAAGTTGGGCATGATGGCACATGCCTATAATTCCAGCACTTAGGAGCTGAGGCTGGAGACTCTCGAGTTCCAGACCAGCCTAGACCACATAGTGGGACCCTATCTAAAAAAAAAAAAAAGCTGGCCAGGTGCTGGTGGTTTATGCGTGTAATCCTAGCTATTCAGGAGTCTGAGATCTGAGGATCGAAGCTCAAAGCCAGCCCAGGCAGAAAAGTCCATGAGTCTCTTATCTCCAATAAACCACTCAGGAAACCAGAAGTGGCGCTTTTGGCTCAAGGGGTAGAGTGCTAGCCTTGAGCTTAAGAGCTGAGGGACAGTGCCCACACCCAGAGTTCAAGCCTCACAACCGACCAAAAAAAAAAAAAAGTTATGCTCAGAACTGCTGAGGATAGTACATAAGCCTACCATGTAATAATTCCTTTCAGAGAGACTTAGGAAAATAACAGGATTGAGTCCGAGTTGCATCACTAAATATTTGAGCAAGTTTTTAGCTGGAAAGAAGAAAAGGCCATGTTCCACAAGGCATGGTAGAAAAGAAGGGCCATGAAGTTGGAAAGAGGAGAAATGCACAGAGGCTGTATGTTCACAACAGGCCATGGACTCATTACCTAGCTGTACCTAAGCCTTCCCTTGGGTCCTGAGCTTCAGGTTTCAGGATTCCCAGAAGGAGGGAAATAGGCCAGGAGCTATCAGATGTGACCACCCAATTGTGAACTCTGGATTTGAAATCTATGCTGGGGGAAAAAAGAAAGAAAGAAAAAAGAGCCAGATTACAGGTGGCTCACACCTGTAATCCTAGCTTCACAGGAGGTTGAGTTCTGAGGATTGAGGTTCAAAGCTAGCCTAGGCAGGAAAGGCCAAGAGACTCTTATCTCCATTTAACCACAGAAAACTGGAAGTAGTGCTGTGGCTCAAAGTAGTAGAGCACTAGCTTTGAGCAAAAGAGTTTAGGGACAGTGCCTAGGCCCTGAGTTCAAGCCCTGCAACTGATGAAAAGAAATCTGTGCTGGGGGAATTCTTGCCCTCTTTTTTTGTGTTTCATGTTTTAAAAATCCCACTTCACAAGGCCTTTTGTGGTTCGCCTGTATAATCCTAGCTACTCAGAGAGGGTAAGATCTGAGGATCATGGTTAGAAGCCAGTCTGAACAGAAAAGTCTGTGAGACTATCTCCAGTTAACTAGCAAATATGTCAGATTGGAGTTGTGGCTACAGGTGTAGAACACTAGCCAGTGAATGAAAAAGCCAAATGAAAGTGAAAGGCCCAGACCAAAACAATTGGAGATGTGGTTCATGTGGTTAAATACCTGCTTTGCAAGTATGAAGCCCTGATTTCAAACCCCAGTTGTGAAGAGATAGAGACAGAGTAAAACAGAGAGACATAGTGAAGAGGAAAGGGAGAGAGGAAGAGAGGGAGGGAATACAGAAGGGAGAAACAAAGGAAGGAGAGAAAGGAAGAAAGAGAAGAAAAGTTGCAACAAAAATTTTGGTCAGGTTTGAATGTAATAAGTGGTAAATGGTATTGCTGCACTATTCACAATAGCCAAGTTATGAAAAAAGCACAGATGCTTTACAGTGGATGAGTGGATCAAGAAAATGTGGTATATGCACAATGGAATTTTGTTTATCCATTAGAAAAAATAATATTGTGTCAATTGCAGGAAAATGGATGGACCTAGAACAAATCATGTTAAGTGAAATAAGCCAGGCTCAAAGAGACAAACAGCACATGGTTTCTCTCATATGTGGAAGCTAGATCTGAAATGCAAATATGCATGATAACATATACAGGACTCAATGCATTTTACACACACACTGACTAAAGGAGGGTATACTTAGGGGAAGAACCCAAACACATAACTCCTCTGAATCCCTAAATTACTGTTTATTAAAATGAACACCAGGAAGTGTGATCGTGTTTTGGGAAGTGGACAAAGAGGGGATCACAGGGATGGAAGGAGGAAAGGCAAGCAAGCGTAGTCATTACATTCAATGTACATTATGTAAAACAGTGAGGCATGTAACGAGGGTGGGGATGGGGGGAGGACAATAGGGAAGAATGGACAGTGAGGCATGGTACTCATAACCTGACTTACGGAATTGTGACCCCTTTGTATAACTAAATAATAATAATAAATGTGGGGGCTGGGAAGGTGGCTCAGTGGCAGAGCGCTTGCCTTGCATGCCTGAGGCCCTGGGTTCGATTCCTCAGCACCACATAAAAAAGAAAAAAGCCGGAAGTGGCGCTGTGGCTCAAGTGGTAGAGCGCTAACCTTGAGCTGAAGAGCTGAGGGACAGTGCCCAGGCCCAGAGTTCAAGCCCCACGACTGACAAAAAATAAAAACAAAAAAATGTGGTGATAGAAAAATGGCACCAGGTTAAAGGCTCAGGAAAAAGAGCTCAAGGGATCTTAGGGGGCAGATCTTCTCTGTCTGGTCTCTGCTTTCACCAAGTAAGGGCGGGTCAGCACCTGAAAGCAAGGTCCGGGGTCTCCTATGTGCTACATTTCTGTGTCTTTTCCCACAGAGGCCTCCCTGCCCTAAGAGCATCCATGAGTGCAGCAGTAGCTGCCCCTCCGCCACCTCCTTTGCTCTCCTATGTCCAGCCACTGCCTCCTCTGCCCAGTGAGCCCCTCTGTGAGCCGAGCAGGGGGAGGTGGGGAGAGGAGGGCGGGCTTTGTCAGAGCCACTACTTTGGCATTAATACTTGCTGTCCACCGGGTGTGGCAAAATTGCGCCTCCCCAGCTCTCAGCTCACCAGACCCTTCTTTTTAGCCTGTTTGTACTGCCTGCGGTTTGAGGAATACAGCTGTTTTTCAAAAGCAGTCTGACTTAAGTTAGGTTTATTGTTGTCACCAGGTAGAGGAGTTTCTGCGAAGATGAGGTTTTCAGCACTGTGAAATAGACAAAATTATCTCAGGTCAACACAAAAATCAGAATATTATCTTAATAAACTCAACACTTTATAACAAGGAAATGGCTAATTAGATATACACTGGTGACCCTTGGAAAAATGTCTCCTAAAAGTTCTTGAGTGAAAGCTTGGTCCCTAGAAGGGAAGGGACGAGTCCTAGAGTGGGTGGTCCGCAGGTCACAGCGCGCCCTTGAAGGGACTCTCCAGACACTTACCTCTTCATTTCTCTCAGCATTTGTAAGTTAAAGAAAGGATTAAGGCAAAATAAAGATATTTTAAAGCAAATAAAACTGAGAGATTCTCCATGAACAGGCACACATGGAAATTAAAAACAGTTTGTTTAATGTTTGTTACAAGCTGACACATTTATGAATGATATAAACAGGCCTACAAGTTGTTCTAGAAGAGAACAAAAAAGGGAGAATGAGGGGTTGAAGGATTAGAAGACAAATACAATAAAATGTTAATGGCTGTTAGATGCCAATTCTTTCAACACTGACTACATATTCAGTATAATCCCAGTAAATCTCCATGTTCTTGGGAATTTTTGTGTGCATATATATAGATATAGATATGTGTATATATGGAACTTGAACTAATTCTATAGCTTAAAAAGGATTTGTTCTATCTGGTATTAAAGCTGATTTTAAAACTATAGTAAATATAACAGACCATAATAGAGAATCCAGAAATTAAATAAGTGTGCTTATACTTCTGTTGTACCAAATTAAGACAATAGTGCAGAAAAAGATGGATTTTTTAGTCTATAATATGAAGAAATGAATATCATTGGACTCCATAAACAATAGACATATAGAAACAATTCCAGTTAGATTAAATGTGAAAGCAAAACTGTAAAGGGTTTTTTTGTTGTTGGGTTTTTTTTTTTTGTCGGTCGTGGGGCTTGAACTCTGGGCTTGGGGCTTTCCCTCAGCTCTTCAGCTCAAGGTGAGCACTCTACCTCTTGAGCTAAAGAGCCCCTTCCAGTTTTCTAGAGATAAGAGTCTCATGGACTTTCATGCCCTGGCTGGCTTAAAACAGTGATCCTCAGATATCAGCCTCCTGAATAGCTAGGATTACAGGCATGAGCCACCGGTGCCCGGTTTAAAATTGTAAAGTTTTTAAGAGGAGGTGATTTCAAATAATGTATGAAAAGGGCTGGGAAGGTGGCTCAGTGGTAGAGCGCTTGCCTTGCATGCCTGAGGCCCTGGGTTCGATTCCTCAGCACCACATAAGCAAAAAGAAAAAAGTCGGAAGTGGCACTGTAGCTCAAGTGGTAGAGCGCTAGCCTTGAGCTGAAGAGCTGAGGGACAGCGCCCAGGCCCAGAGTTCAGGCCTCATGACCGGACCCAAAATAAATAAATAAATAAATAAAAATAATGTATGAAAAGTACTAATTATAACAAGGAAAAAAGATAAGCTTCATAATATCAATATTTAAAACATCTTCATTTGGTAGGTATAATGATGCATGCCTAAAGTCTCATCAGTCGACTGAGACAAGAGCATAATCTAATCCCAAAAGTTCAAAATCAGCCTGGATAATAAACAACACAACAAGACCTCATCTCAACTAGTAAATAAGTTTTTAAAAGGCATCATTAGGAAAAGTTAAAATACAAATCCACAAAATATGAAAAGATACAAGAAGCAGAACTGAAAAGGGGTCTACATCCAAAATATTAAAAAAAAAAAAGCTTTACAAATCAGTGAGCAAGACAGACAACCAACAGATAAAAATGGCAAAAGTCTTAAACAGGTACTGTTCAAGTGAGAAAACTCTATAGGCAATAAAGATATGAAAAGCACTCAGAGGTTGGAGGCGTGGTTCAAATAGTAAGGCTTGGCCTAGCAAACACAAGACACTTAGTTCAAACTCCAGTACCATCAAAAAAGGAGCTAGGCGCTAGGCACCAGTGCTCATATCTTTAATCTTAGCTACTCAGGAGGCTGAGATCTGATGATCATGGTTCAAAGCCAGGCAGGGCAGGAAAAGTTCATGAGTCCCTTATCTCCAATAAACTACTTTTTAAAAACAAAGCCAGAAGTAGGGCTGTGGTTGAAGTGAGAGAGCAATAGCTTTGAGCAAAAGAAGCTCAGGGACAATGTCCAGCCCTGAGTTCAAGCCTCAGGACTAGCACTAAAAAAAAAGAAAAAAAATAAGGAAAGGAAGAAAGGGAAGGAAGGAGGGATGGAGAAAAGAACTCACTTGGTAATCAGGAAAATGATCTCAGCCATGAGCTTTACTCAAATTAGAAAATCCAACCATATCAACAGTCAAAGAGAATGTGAAAAATGTGTACAGTACTTCTCATCCATTATGACGGGGACATAAGCTAAAATAGCTTAACAGTTTAACAATGTCTTATAACTCAGAAAGGCTCACTCTTAGATATACACCCTAAGAAATATGGATTGAGGGAATCAAAATACTTGCATTGGACTGTTTATAATAACCCAAATAAGACAATAATTCAAACATCCACCAATAGTGGGGGCTCACATCTGTAATCCTAGCTACTCAGGAGGTCTGAGGATCACAGTTCGAAAACAGCCTGGGCAGAAAAGTCCATGAGACTGTTATCGCCAATTAACCAAGAAAATGCTGAAAGTGAGGTATGGCTCAACATGGTAGAGTGCCAGTGAAAAAAAACAGCAAGTGCATGAAGCCCTGAATTCAAGCCGCAGTACAGATGGATTTCACAGTATGTAAATGTCTTGTCCAAAAATCAGTCACAAAAGAGAAAATGCTTTCATATTTCATTTATATGAAACTCAAAACTAGCTGAGATTTACCTGACTTTTGTAACTGTAAAAAGAAAAACAACTAGGTGAGATTAATAATATTGTTTAAGGATTTAAAAACAACCACAAGGAAATGGAGGGAAAATAAGCAGGTAAAGACAGCTTGGTGATGGTCCTATCACAGGGCTGGCTTGAAGTTTGTTAAGGTGTTCCTACTACTCTCTACATTCATTTCCCAATTCTCTAAGCCACTAAAAGAAAAGGTGTGACTAGTTGCAAGCTCTGCCTTAGGAAAACACTAACCCACAAGTTCAGCAAGCATTGGCATATCCGTTTAGTTACTATGTACCTGTACATTCCACCATTTTTATTCTTCATGGGTCTTTCAGAAGCGTCTTCCCATGCTACCGGGACCACACTGCGTGGAGTGAAAATGTACTGGGATAATTTGGCTTTCTCCGGGTCTTTAAGTTGTTTTTTGGTGCAGTGTCTTTTTTCTATCGGAAAATGAAAAATGTAAATCAGCACTTTTAAAGACCAGTTGCTCTTGGGGAAAAATCATGTGACACTTAACAGTCTCTAAAAATGAAGCCTGGTGGGGGGGGGGCTGGGAAGATGGCTCAGTGGTAGAGCGCTTGCCTTGCATGCCTGAGGTCCTGGGTTCGATTCCGCAGCACCACATAAGCAAAAAAAAAAAGCCGGAAGTGGCGCTGTGGCTCAAGTGGTAGAGCGCTAGCCTTGAGCTGGAGAGCTGAGGGACAGCGCCCAGGCCCAGAGTTCAGGCCCCATGACCGGACCCAACAAAAAAAAAATGAAGCCTGGGGTCACAAAGCACCTGTCCTATCTTGGGCATGAAGTCTCTTCTTGTCATCCAACTCTTGCCGCCTTTGAGCCTGAGCATCATCCAATGCAGGGGTTGTACTCTACAAGAAAAGTGAGACTTTTTCAGGCTGCCAGCGCAGTTTATATTAAACTATTTAAATCTGCCAGGCACTAGTGACTCACGCCTGTAATCCTAGCTTCTCAGGAGGCTGAGATCTGAGGATCAAAATTCGGAGGCATCCTGGACAGAAAAGTCCACCAGTCTCTTATCTCCAATTAACCAGAAAAAAAAAAAAGCCAAGAGTGGAGGTATGGCTCAAAAGCCAGCCTTGAGCAAAAAAATGCAAGACCTAAGTTCAAGTCCAAGTACTGGCACACTAAATAAATAAACAAATAGTTTAAATCTGTCCTAAACATTCAAATGTGGCCTTACCATGCACCAAAGCTCACAGAGGACCAAGCCTGGGGAATCCCATCCGCACACAGAGCAGTGGGAAAGCAGCAGCAGCTGGCTCGATGTACATACTTCACTGAGTGGAAAGAGCGGAACAGAGCAGGGCAAAGGAGACCCGCCCATATAGAAAAGACAAGGCTCTGTTTAGAGTGTTACAGAATCATTCTATGAGTCAGTATTTGTTGGGCCACTAAGTGCTACATTAAGGCCTCAGCCTGTCACCAAAATTCCTCATTCTAGAACAGACAAGTCACTCACAATGACAATTTAGCTGTGCATGGAGCTGGCTTAGGGTCTTTAGAAGCACAGGCAATGCTCCTAGCCTAACCTGAGAGGAAGGAGGTATGTTGAGGCTGCTACTCATTGCTCTGTTAGGGCTGTGGGACAGGCAGGGCCAAGAACATCAGTGAGTCTGGGTCAAGAAGTGGGACTATACAAAGGCCATTTTATTTACTTGTTTCATGCCCATACCAGGGTTTCAACTCAGGGCCTTGAGCCCTAACTTGGCTTTTTCACTCACAGCTAAAGCTCTTGAACCATGCTTTGCTTCTGGCCTTTTGCTGGTTAATAAGAGATAAGAGCCTCCCAGTTTTGTCTGCCCAACCTGGCTTTACACCATGATTCTCAGATATCAGCTTTCTGAGTAGCTAGGCTTACAGGTGTGAGACAGTATACCTAGGGAAAGGCTATTTTTAAGTGGTGTTTTGTTTGTTTTTCTCTCTCCTTCTGGTTATAAGCCTTCCACACAGGGACTATCTCCTGCTCCTTCACTTTTCCACAGCGCTTAAAGATTGTATACTTAGATTTCAAAAGCATAGGGATACCATCTTGAGCTCTGCCTCTTAGGGTGTTTAGGAATTAGTATTTAATAATACCTATTCAGAAATTTTGCTCAAAAATACACTTAAATGTTTTAATATTCCAGCCAAACTACTCTAGAAAATAGGTGGGAGAGTCAGGGTAGGGTTCCAAAATACAAAAAAAGCAAAAATCTTGAGTCTGTAGTATACATTTTTGATTTGGTACTACAATAACATGCTTATATTGGATAAGACATTCCTGACATCAAAGGTTTTCAAAATAAGACTGCAAAATATTTTTTGATGAAGCCAAACTGAAGGACAAAACTGTTGGTCCCTGCTGAGCACCAGTGGCTCACACCTAAAATTCTAGCTACTCAGGAGACTGAGATCTGAGGATTGTAGTTCAAAGCCAGACTGGGCAGGAAAGTCTGTGAAACTCTTATCACCAATTAACCACCAAAAATCTGGAAGTAGAACTGTGGCTCAAGTAGTAGTGTATTAGCCCCTCAGCACAAAAGTTCAGACCCTGAGTTCAAGCCCTGGGACTGGCATATATACACACACACACACACACACACACACACACACACACAGGCACACATACACACAGTCACACACACACACAAGTTGATCCTTGTACCTATAGGTTTGCTGATGTGACAACCCTATCTCCCATTCCCCCTTGACTAATTCCTACCACAGAAATTAGTCACACAGCCTCTTTTCCTGATCCTGCTCAGTCAGGACTTGCGATATGACCTCGTCCTGGCCAATGAGCTCTATGTGAAAGTCCCCTGAGGATGCTTTTTGCTTCCTCATCAGAGGAATAGGGAAAGAAGAGAGCCTTAGCACTATTCCCTACCCCCACTTCTTCCTGTCTTGAATGCAGACCTAATACTTAGAGCTGTAAACACCTCAGGTAAGTGTGAAAATGACAAGTAGATTGAAAATACTAGAGATAGCGAGAGAGAAAAGAAAAAAAATTGGTATACTTTATTGAAAAATACAACTCAGTACCGTTTTGTTGCCGTGCTCTAAGAAATATCCATATTTCTCTTGTTTTATTTTCTTTGATTTTTTGCATGAAAGTACTTTTTTCATTACTTTCTGCTGAAGAGGCTCTGCAACTTGTTTGACCCATTTTTTATGTAATAACTCCTTTTTTCTTTCCTTAAAAATATCCACATGCTGAAAATACATATCCAATTTCTAATGAAGTGATAGGAAAAGAAAAAATGATTAAGAAAACGTTCTACTTATTGTCATTTGCATAACAATGGGTAAACACTTGTTCCCACTTCTAAGTTCTCAGCCAAATCAAGCTGTGACATCCTAGTACAAGATACTGGAGAACAGAACACAGTTTAGGATGAAAACCTGAAAGCACAGAACAAGAAGTCGTGAAAAGTTCACATATACTATGCCTTCTATTAAACTCATAAGGCAGGTTAAGCCTTTCTTAACTCACCAAACTATTGCTTCTTCTTAGAGATTCCAAAGCATTCCCTGGTCATCTAACCTTCATCAGCAAAGTTGGTGACTTGATTTGATACCTCTCTCTAACTTATAAAAGGAGGCTAATCTCACCTAGCACTTCGATGTTCAAATGAGAAAATATATGTGCACTTACTTTAGTTATTGCAAATCATAATACAAATGTCAAAGCAGTCATATAACACCAAATTCTGATCACTCTCATTGAAATTAACTACTGATAAACATCTTAATTCTATAGCTCATATTAGTCACTAATTCATTTCTAGTGGTTACACATAGTCCCACTACAAGAATGGGACATAGAAGGAAGGGGCAAATTTTAGTAGGAAAGAATTTTCTGTTTAGTACCAAGACAGAGGGTGAGCAGTTAAAACAACCCAGATCCCTAAGGACAGATTCAAGCAAGACTTTGGTGTAGCATGAACAACTGAGAGGAGTGTCATGATCCTATAAAATCAGCCTCTGTAATATAGTGTCTGATTTGGCTATCCAGTGTCTCCTCAGTGCTTGTATATTGAAGCTTTGTGTCCCTAGCTAATGGAGCTATTGGGAGGTGGTGGAAATTTTAGGAAGAAAGACTGGAAGCAAACTTGGTTGTTGAGAGCCTGCCTGCCCTTTAAGGAGATGTCGGGAGCCAGGCCTTTCCTCCCCTTCCTGGCTGCCATGAGGTGAGTAGCTTTGCTCCGCCACACATTTCCTGCTCTACTATTCTCCCTCACTACAGGCCCAAAGCAATCAGACCAGTGACCATGGACTGAAACCCCTAACGCTGGGAGCCAAAAACAAACCTTCCTCCTCTGAAGCTGTTTATCTTGCATGCCTGTCATAGCCACACAAAGCTGACTAGCACACCTGGCAACATCGAGTCTCTACATGCTGCTCTACATACTTCCTGCTCCCCCAGGACACAAGTACAACACACAGCTCTTACCTTCACAACATAATTTTCTCTAAATAATATTGCATGCACAGCTCCATCAATGTCTTCTCTAGCTAATACCTATTATAGAAATGAGTGTTAGAAACAAACCAAAATGACAAGTCCCAGTGTAATATATCAATAGCATTAGTGAACATCTAAAGTCTGTATGTCCAAGTATAGGTTATGACTTTTGTTTTGTGCCAGTACTGAGGCTTGAAATCAGGGCTTCATGCTCTTGCTTTAACTTTTTCACTCAAGGCTGTAGCCCTACCACTTGAGTCACATCTCCACTTCTGAATTTTTACTAGAGATTTGTCTATTGGGGCTAGTTTCAAGGCTGGTTTCTCAGATCTCAGCCTCCTGAGTAGCTAGAATTACAGAAACTTGAGCCCAGTAAGTTTGTGACTTTTATAGAAAAGTTCAAACACCATTCTCTAGGAACCAATCACCCAGGTTCAACAACTAGCAATTCCTCCTCATCTCATCTAATTCCCGACTCACTTTCTGTCCTCCACTCAGAATAATTTGAAACAAATCCTTGACATCATATCATTAAACCATATTTTTTAAATTACCAAGAAGTTTACAATTAACGGGATCCCACAAGAATTAAATATTTGGTAGGCATATTTTAAAGGGTCCTTGAAGCTTTCTGCCTTCTGTCAGTCTCTTCCTAAATCAAAACCACAGAAAGTCCAATTTAACACAAACTGGTCAATCTCTGACCTAGTTAGTTGTATTTCATAGCCTCTTAGAGATATTGTCTCATACCTAAGGGCCTTCCATTGTGAATCTGAGGGAAAATGATTCACTAAATCCTCCCTGTAGCACTTCTTTAGTTGGATTGCTATAAACTGAGTTCTAGATATTATTCTTAAATGACTAAAGAAGAAGGAATGAAAAGTTAATTAAAAGCAGCATTTGGCAGCATATGTCTATAATCTCAACTATTCAGAAAACAGGGGTAAAAGATCCCTGGATTGAGGCCAAACTGGGCAAAGTTAATGGCAGACCTTATCTCTAAAACAAACTAAAAGCAAAATATTAGAGACTGGTTTATGTGGAAATCACAAACTTCTAAGTTTAATCCCTAACACTACCCTCTCCCTGCCAAAACAAAAACAGTATCTGGGAGGAATATGCTATTCCTAAAACAATTATCTCTAGTGAAAAACTCAGACAGATTCTTAGAATTTTATTATTTACTCTGTGACTTTTTTTCTGTTCTGCCACATTGAATGTATCAAAACCAACTAAACCCCAAATTCAAATACCAGATCTGTTAGCAAATCAAAACTGAGTTGTATTTTTACCCATAATTTAATAGTCTCACATAAAATCTAAAATGATATTCAAATAGCTTCTTGGGTCTTCTCCAAAGTAAACTTCTTTAAAATGTAAACTTAATTTTATGCAAAAGTAACCACTAAACATGTTTCCTTGATAGCACAGTATAAATGGAGAACCAATCACTGTTTATTTGGAGGAGTAAAAATGTACATGTTGACAATTATCTTGGATGGTCACTTTTTTTCAGTTATTATAGTGAGATTATGAGTACATTTTATATAAACAGATATATATGTAGTATTGGCCATGTTTCAAGTTTTCTAACAAGCTTTTGTTGTTTTATATACATATATATGATATGTTAATGATTTGTAGCAGCACTTCTGAAATGTACAGCTTTCTGTGCATACATATATAAAATCTATCCTTAGTTCCAACCACAGCCAAAGAAATAAAATAATCCCTGTGCAGTAATGTGGAGGCCAACCTGAGTTATATAGTGAGACCTTGTCTCAGAAATAAAAGGCAGGGGGGCTGGGAAGGTGGCTCAGTGGTAGAGCGCTTGCCTTGCATGCATGAGGCCCTGGGTTCAATTCCTCAGCACCACATAAGCAAAAAGAAAAAAAGCCGGAAGTGGCGCTGTGGCTCAAGTGGTAGAGCGCTAGCCTTGAGCTGAAGAGCTGAGGGACAGCACCCAGGCCAAGAGTTCAGGCCCCATGACCGGACCCAAAAAAAAAAAAAAAAAGAAATAAAAGGCAGGGAAGGGGGAATTTCCATGAACTTCAAAACAACAAAATTTTTTATTTTATTTTTGTGCTGGTCCTATGGTGTGAACTCAGGGCCTGGGTGCTGTCCCTGAGACTTTGTGCTCAAGTCTAGTGTTCTACACTTGAGCCATAGACCCACTTTTGGGTCTTTTGGAAGTTAATTGGAGAGAGGAGTCTCACAGACTATCTTCCCTGGGCTGGCTTTCAAGCATGATCCTCTCATCTCAGCCTCATGGGTAGCTAGGACTACAAGCATGAGCCACCAGCCCCAGCCAATAAAACTTTCCTATGAGCAAATCAATACCAGCCCCTATCTGCAAGTCTTAGCCTGACTCCTGCAAGGCGACCTCCTGCCTTACAGATTGCCCTGTCCCGTTCATGCCCAGTCCCTCAGGTTAGCAACACATACCACCCGCCAAATTTCATGGGGACCATTCTCACCCAACGAATTCTCTTGTGTGTTTCAGTTCTGGGAATACACGCGTGATAGTGCCTAATTAGATCCCACAGCAGAATGGCATCCCCCAAAGTCCCCATCGTTACCTCCACTGAAGAAACCCACTGAGGCTCTGGCCAGTCCTTCAGTTTTTCTGGACTGAAATGTTCGATACAGTTGGAAGCTCTCGTGGCAGCCATAGATGGAAGCCCTGAGGAGGAAGAGATAGAATGAGGGGACGTAGTGGGCTGCGGCCCAGCCGGGTCGGCGCTCGCTCCTTGTGGGCTCGGTGAGTCAATTACAGAAGTTCCCCAAAGGGCCCGACCTGCATCCCGCGTTGTGAAAGCAGGTCTTCCCCGCGGGGGCCCACCAGCCGCAGGGTGTCACCCCAGTGGGGCCCCTGCCACTTGCCCACGGTGCTGCCTCGAGGCCCCCCCCTCGCTGCCACCCCGGAGTTAAGGGCTGGGTGGTCAGCAGTGAGCCCAGCAGAGGAGGTGGCGAAAATTCCACCAAAGGGAAATCCTGACTAGTGGAAACATACCTAATCCAAGCCAGGGATAAAAAGCGGTTGGAGCCCAGCCCTCTTCTCTGCCCCTCCCCACGCCACCACGCCCCCCTCATTGGGGAGGCCAGGTACAGGGTACCCCACTGCCATGCAGGCTTCTCTGTTTACTTGTCTATTTGAATACACGCTTTACCGTGTATTGGAAGACTGGGGGCGGCGGCTGGAAGCAACGTGTTTTGGTGCAGTCGCCACTTTCCCTTTGCCTCCTCTTCTCCTGGGGGCCTCATCCCACAGACGGAAGGCGTTTGCATTCTGATTGAAAGGAACTGATGGAAAATTTAAAAAAAATTCTGGACAATAAGGAAAATCTAAAAGACTGCCCGAGTGCAATGTCAAGGAATTATTACTATTATACGGTTTAGTAACAGTTTGTGTTAGTTTTACAAAGGAGGCATATTCTGAAATAGTCTTGGATAAAATCATTTATCTGAAAAAGTTTGTTCAGAGCAGGTGGAAGGTGAGGACTGGGAAGGATGATGGATTAAACAAGATTGTCATCTGAAACAGAAAGCAAGTCTGGGACACAGGAGCCAAGATTCAGAGATAAATATTGCATCAGTGAGAACAGGTTGATTAAAAACACGCTGGCACTACTTTCCCTGCTTTAATCGTTACAGTCCTCACTGAGATGTAACATATAGTAAAAGTGAAGTCACTCCCTCCAATCATAAATTTTTATTGCCCAAATGGTGACTGTGCTCTAGAAAAACTAAAGAAAAACACCCATCCTGGCCACAAAATGGTAAAGCAAATCCTCTGATTACAAAGGATTTGCTAAGGAAAAAAAAAGTTATAGCAAGGTAGGATTCTTATCTTGAAAGGAGCATCTGGAGAAAAATATTGTTTGTTAAAGGGATGCTCAAAGAGAACAAAAAATATCTACCACTAACACAAGGACCCAAACTTAGCAACTGACCGGATTTAGTATCTCTGGGCTCAGCTGATAATGTCAAGCCAGTGTAACAGCAAGAATAATGAATGCATACCAAGTGTCCAGAACAAAGAACATTTACCCTAAAATATATTCTTTCAAGGCAGACACTGGTAACTCATGCTTGTAATCCTAGCTACTCAGAAAGTTGAGATATAAGTATTGCAGTTCAAAGCCAGTCTGGGCAGGAGAGTACATGAAACTTTTATCTCCAATTAAAACACCAAAAAGCTAGAAATGCATCTGTGATTCAAGTGGTAGAATGCTAGCCTTGAACAAAAAGGCTTAAGGACAGAACCCTGGCCCTGAATTCAAGTCCCAGAACTGGGGCTTGAATATACATTTTAATTTTAAAATATACATTTTAAATTTCCTAAAGAATCTTGAAAGCAGAGTATTGCAGTGCATGATTGTAAATCCAGAAGGTTGAGGTAAGACTATCAAAAGTTTGAGGCTATGCTGGGTGCTGGTGGCTTCATGCCTGTAATCCTAGCTCTTCAGGAGTCTGAGATCTGAGGATGACAGTTCAAAGCCAGCAAGGGCAGGAAAAGTCCATGAGACTCTTATCTCCAATTATCCACCAGAAAAGCAGAAGTGATACTGTGGCTCAAGTAGTAGAGCACTAGCCTTGAGCTGAAGAGCTGAGGGACAGCGCCCAGGCCCAGAATTCAAGCCCCACAACAACAACAAAAAAGTTTGAGGCTAGCCTTGATTAAGAGAAGGTGGGAAAAGTTGGGAAGGATGAGAGAATGAGAAGGAGAAGAAGGAGACAGAGAAGAATCATCTTGACAAAAACCTGAGGAGAATATATGAATGTGGATTTTTAAGTGTGACTTAAAAAAAGAAGCATATTTTAAACTTCGGGACAAAGTGAATTGAGTCAAACATTCCAAAAAGATTGCTATTATTTTTTATTGAGGTTTTTAGCAATACTTTTTTTTAATTTGGGAGAAAAATATACTTACAACAACTATCAATTCATGATATTGTCATTTCTTAATTGCTACAGGCACTGAATTTAAAAATTAAATGAAGTTTATTGCAGATAAGGACAGAACAATTCTTGAATCCTTCTCTGGGTCCTGGCAGGTAACTTTGTCACGAAGTAACCTTCACTGAACCTCCTTCACAGGTCAAGAATCAGGATTAATGTTCCTTGGTTGCTACTGCTGTTTCAAGGGAACAAAGGAGAAAAGTTGAGTGTGAGATAAAAATGAACAACTTGCAAAAACAGACTTAGTTCCCCAGCTAAGCTGAGCTGATCCTTCTGAATTCTGGTCCTACTACACCCCAGTGACCCTCCTCATAGGGTCATCCCTGAATCTCCTACCTCAACCTTTCCTCCTCTGGATTCAGAAGCACTCGGCGATCTGAGGGACTACCTATGGCATTGTTTTCATATATATGCCCAAATACTGTTATGCCAAGCTTGACAGGCTTTAGGAAATTTTGATTCTTTCTCCTTTCAAATCTCTTAAGTTTCTATCTTCCACCTCAGTTTCATCTAATGACTTTCTCACTTTGTTGAGACAATGAATGACCTTCCTTCAGAAAATTCACACAACTAGCTTCCTATATGCATATACTCCGCCTTCCCTCCTACAAGGGGCGGGTTGTTCTGCCTTCCCTTTGAGCCATGGACTCCACCTTTTCATCTGCTGAAGGGCTCTGCACTTGTCCCCCTCTCTTCCCGGCCATCACATTTCTCTCTGCTCATGCATTCCATGAGGAAACATCCTAGCTGTAGCTAGCATCTGATACAAATGTTCCACTGTCCCTACTGTCTCCAGCCACAATTCCATCTCTCCACTCCTTTATAGCAAAATGCCACAAAAAGGTTGTTTATTCCCCCTGTCCCCACATTGTCATCCCGCAACCCATCCTCTTTTGAATCCACCCTACTCAGGCTTTCTTTCCAATGGCTCCACAGTAACCTCTCTGATAAAAATCACAGATTCTTCCTTCCTTCCTTTCCTTCCTTTCTCTTTCTTTCTTTCTTCCTTTCTTTCTTCCTTTCCTTCTTTCTTTCTTTTGTCAGTCGTGGGGCTTGAACTCTGGGCTTGGGCGCTATCCCTCAGCTCTTCAGCTCGCGGCGAGCGCTCTACCACTTGAGCCACAGAGCAACTTCTGGTTTTCTAGTGGTTTATTGGAGAAGAGAGTCTCACAGACTTTCCTAAATACAGAGAATAATTCCCAGTCCCTATCTTATTTGCCCTCTCAGCAGCAATGTGAGATGGTTGATTGAATCCTTCTTTCCTAGGTTTCTGTAATACTACACTCTTCTGCTTTCCTTCCTGCCTGACTAGCCACTCATTCCTTTCATATACCTTTGTTCAGTCTGCCTCCTCATGCCAACCTCTAAATCTTGGAGTTCCTCAGAAATGGTCCTCAGTTCTCTCCTCCCTTGACTCTACTCCCAGGTGATCTCATGATTTCAAACAGCATCTGAGAATTATTCATATACACTTGTGTACCCCATTTTCTCCGATCTTCTAGGCTGCATCTACCCCCCATCCCCACTTCACAGCTCCTCTGGGAAGTTGAACAAAAAAAGTGTAAATGAATGTTACTTAAATTAATGTCTTAACTCAGGTAACAGAAGCTATGTACCAAAGGGAGGCTTGAAGACCACTGTTAAGGACTTTCAAAGAGGGAGTCAAAACAATTTTTTTTAATCAATCATCAAACTGAGCACTGGTGGCTCACACCCATAACCCAAGATACTCAGGAGGCTGAGATATGAGGATCATGGTTTGAAGCCAGCCCCATCATAAAGTTCAATAAACTAATTAGAAAAAGCCAGATGTGGTGCTGTGGCTCAAATGGTAGAGTGCTAGCCTTGAGCACAAAGAGACTCAAGGATAGCACCCAGGCCCAGAGTTCAAGCCCCAGGACTGGCAAAAAAAAAAAAAAGCAAAACAAAACAAAATACCTAATTTATCAAACAAAGCAATAAATAAAAATCACTAGAGGATTAGTTTAGTAAAAGAGGAAAAGAAAGGATGCAAACCACAAAAAATCAACAAAATGGCAGGAACAAGGCATATCAAGGGAATAAACTCCCCAATCAAAGAGAAGAAGCCTGGATCATAAAACAAGATCCAAGCATTTGCTGCCTCTAAGAAACTCAGCTTATGCCAGGTGCCTGTGTCTCATGCCTGTAATCTTAGCTACTCAGGAGGCTGAGATCTAAGGATCACAGTTCAAAGCCAGCTCAGGCAGGAAAGTCCGTGAGACTCTTTTTTTTTGTCTGTTGTGGGGCTTGAACTCTGGGCCTGGATGCTGTCCTTCAGCTCTTCAGCTCAAGGCTAGCACTCTACCACTTGAGCCACATCGCCCACTTCCTGCTTTTCTGTTTATGTGGTGCTAAGGAATCGAACCCAGAGCCTCATGCTTTCGAGACAAACACTCTACCACTAAGCCACCTTCCCAGCCCCGTGAAACTCTTATCTCCAATAAACCACTCAGAAAACCAGAAGTGTCACAGTGGCTCAAGTGGTAGAGTGCTAGCCTTGAGCTGAAGGGCTAAGGAACGGTGTTTAGGCCCATAGTTCAAGTCCTATGACTAACAAAAAAAAAAGAAAAACACAGCTTACTACCAAAGTTAAACACAAATTCCAAGTGAAAGGATGGAAAAAGATCTTTCAAGCAAATGCATCCTTTAAGGCAGGAGTAGCCATACAGCTATCTAAACACAGACTTCAAATTAAATTCAGTAACAATAGGCTGGGAAGGTGGCTCAGTGGTAGAGCGCTTGCCTTGCATGCATGAGGCCCTGGGTTCGATTCCTCAGCACCACATAAGCAAAAAGAAAAAAGCGCAAGTGGCATTGTGGCTCAAGTGGTAGAGCGCTAGCCTTGAGCTGAAGAGCTGAGGGACAGCACCCAGGCCCAGAGTTCAGGCCCCACAACTGGACCAAAATAAATAAATAAATAAAATAAAATCAGTAACAAGATATTAAAAAAAGGTTTCCACATATTAATAAGGGGATTGATCCATGAGGGAGAAATTGCAGTGGTCAATATATACGCACCAAATAATGGAGCAACCGAATACATTAAACTAACACTCTTACTCAGACTTACAAAAACTGATAGACCTCAACACAATAATAAGAGACTTTAACATCTCACTTTCACCAAAGGACAGGTCAAGGTCAACAAAACAAAAGATCAACAAAGGGGCTGGGAAGGTGGCTCAGTGGTAGAGCCCTTTCCTTGCATGCTTGAGGCCCTGGGTTCGATTCCTCAGCACCACATAAGCAGAAAAAAAAAAAAAAGCTGGAAGTGGTGCTATGGCTCAAGTGGTAGAGTGCTAGCCTCGAGCTGAAGAGCTGAGGGACAGCGCCCAGGCCCAGAGTTCAGACCCCACGACCAGACAAAAAAAAAAAAAAAAATCAACAAAAACACTTCTAAATGAAATGACCTCATAACCCAAATTAATAGATATCTATAGAGTATTTCACCCAACAATCACACAATATACATTCTTCTCAGCAGCCCATGGAACCTTCTCCAAAACAGATCACATCCTAGGATATTCAACAAGCTTGAGAAAATATAAAAGAATTTAAAAAAAAAAAGAATTGACTGTGTAGCACCACCAAGTTGCCAAGGGTAACTCTCTATTCCCTCTAAATAAAGAACACCTGACTCTCGGTTTCTTCTACTTTATCCCTTCTGAGGAAGTGGTCCATGCCTCCTTTCTTTTTGGAAGCCAGATAGGTCACAAAGTTCCCAGGTGCTGAGATTTTAGTGCCAGCAATATCTAGCTGCCTTGCATACTGCAAAATGGGACTACCCAGCTCTCACCACCTCCTGATCTTCATCCTTTGCTACCTCCTGGCTGGGACTCAAGGAAGAAAAGTGCCTTTCACAGTTAGCCTCTTTGGAATTTGCATTCTTTCCTTCATCATAACAGAGAGGTTCTTTTTCCAGAGGAGACGGCACTTTGTTTCTATAGGAAAGAACCAGAAAAGAAGGCGTTCTCAGAACTTTTCAACTGTAGCACTTAAAAGTTTTCACTTAAATTTGAAGTTGAAGCCAGGTACCCGTGGCTCACGCCTGTCATCCTAGCTACTCAGAAGGCTGAGATCTGAGGATCATGGTTCAAAACCAGCCTGGACAGGAAAGTCTGTGAGACTTTTATCTCCAATAAATCACCAGAAAACTGGAAGTGGTGCTGTGGCTCAAGTGGTAGAGTGCTAGCTTTGAGCTGAAGAGCTCAGGGACAGCGCCGAGGCCCAGAGTTCAAGCCCCATGACCGATAAAAAAAAAAAAATTGAAGTTGATAAGTTCTATAAGGATTTATATATTTCATGGGGAAAAAATAGAATTACTCACTCTGGTGTTAATCAAAGAGCTGAGTGAATGAGACCCTCAAAGTTGTCCAGTTTATCATCCCTGGGACAGTCTAAAGAGTTAGGATGTCAAACACAAGACAAACTTGTATTTTCTCCTGTTGCTGCCACCACCGGGGCAACTCCCTCATTTATGGCAGAGAATTCAAGCTTCCTCCTTTTCCCAGAGGAAGCTTATAAATCTAAGCTTCTCCTACCTCTAGGGACTTGAACAAAGCCATACCATATATCCCTCCTATCTAGGTCACACTCTGCTACAGAGGTACTTAAAAATAAAATTTATTTTTGTACTAGGATTAATTAGACATTAGGATTGAGATATTAATTATTCCAAAATCTTACTCAAACTGCTCCAATTAACCAGCAAAAAGCTTGAAGTGGAGCTGCAGGTCAAGTGGTAGAGTGCCAGCCTTGCAAAACAAAAAGCTAAGAGGCAGCACTCAAACTGTGTTCAGGCTGAATTCAACCCCAGTGACCATCCCCCGCCCCCCCCCAAAAAAAATCCAATTGTTTAACTTTAGTACAATTGTCACCTTCACTCACTTATTATTTCTCAGAAATTTGTGTCTTAAAATCAGAATAGCCTGAAGAAAGTTACTGCTTCCCTCAGGCACAGTCGTAGGAACTGCCTGTCTGTCAAGCCACAATGGAGAGGTCTTGGCATTGACCCCAACAATTTGAATAGACAACAAGGGCAGCAACAGAGCCAAGCATTTTATTTATTTATTTTTTGCCAGTTGTGGGGCCTGAACTCCGGGCCTGGGTGCTGTCCCTGAGCTCTTCAACTCAAGGCTAGCACTCTACCACTTGAGGCACAGTGCCACTTCCAGCTTTTCGGCTTATGTGGTGCTGAGGAATTGAACTCAGGGCCTCATGCATGCAAGGCAAGTGCTCTACCACTGAGCCACCTTCCCAGCCCCCAAGCATTTTAAATGAAAGTTGAGCCATTTCGTTTGTTTTTTTTTGGGGGGGGTCTGGTCGTGGGGTCTGAACTCTGGGCCTGGGCGCTGTCCTCAGCTCTTCAGCTCAAGGCTAGCGCTCTACCACTTGAACAACAGCGCCACTTCTGGCTTTTTTTCTTTTTGTTTATGTGGTGCTAGGGAATCGAACCCAGGGCCTCAGGCATGCAAGGCAAGCGCTCTACCACTGAGCCACCTTCCCAGCCCCAGTTGAGCCATTTCGGAATAACAAGCTTACTTGAAAATAATTTCCTTTTCTTCTTCCTGATGTTCCATAAGATAAGAAGTTCTTGCCAAGGGTTTCCAATCAAAACTCTCATTAAAATTCTTTTTCACTTTTAACCTTTAAACAGAAAACTTACATGAGGATATATGAAAATACAACTACTTTGAATTTACGCAAAACTTATTGTTATATAATCAGCAAAATGCTGCACTGGAGGTGTGACTCAAGTGATAGGATACCAGCCCTGAGCAAGACAGTCAAACAAGAGTGTGAGACCCTGAGTTCAAGGCCTACTACTGGCACAAAAAAAAAAAGGAAAGTTTTAATATTTAACACAGTAAAGACACTTAAGTTATCTGTGTGATAGGACTAATCAAACTAAAGTTTCTATAGAGATAAAACAAAGTTGTACAAGCTAAAAAGCTTATCACAGTGTCTAACAAATAGTAACTAAATGAATATTGTTATTATTCTAGATTAGTGATTAGAATAAAAATTTAGTCTGTAGAATTATTAAGAAAAGGACAGATGAGAATACTTAAAAGTAGAACAGACAGCATCCAGTGCTGAGTAAGACAGAGGGCAAAGAAAAAGATAAAGAAGATGATGATGAGCTGGGCGCTGGTGGCTCACACCTGTAATCCTAGCTACTCAGGAGGCTGAGATCTGAGGATCGTGGTTAAAAGCCAGCCCGTGCAGGAGAGACTGTGAGACTCCTATCTCCAATAAACCACCAGAAAACCGGTAGTGGCGCTGTAGCTCAAGTGGTACAGCGCTCGCCTTGAGCTGAAGAGCTGAGGGACAGTGCCCAGGCCCAGAGTTCAAGCCCCACGACCGACAA